CCATGACACACACTGCTTTAAGACTTTAGGCTGACAACATATCATTTCATCCATACTGTCACTAGAAGTTAAAGTAAAGTAAAGCTATCCCACTACACGCCATGCAGGCGCTTGAGGGGAGTGGAGGTATAGCTCCTACTCTTTCTTGACCTTAGCAATAGATGGGGGTGAGTGGTCAGCATCACGCCCTGGCCGTGCTTTACCCCCAGGAAAGGACCCCGGTACCCACTGGATAGGAGGCTGGGTGGGCCCCAGAGCCGGTCTGAGCGCAGAGGATAGAGAAAAATCCTCTGCCCCCATCGAGGATCGAACCCGGTCGCCCAGTCCGTAGCAGTGGTAACATCTAGTGAGTGGAGGTACAGCTCCTACTCACTAGAAGTTACCATAACCAAATTTGTTATGTTAAATCAAGTTTTTTCAATCTGTATAATAACTTTAATTCCTTAAGTTTCAATGTGAATGTAGCCTTCCTGAATGGCAGATAAAACAAAAACAAAAACAGCAAACATTGTCTGTGACCAACATATAGTTATCTAATATTCTGTCCTGTCACTATCAAAGTAGCATGTAGTACATACAATCGCCCAATAAAATTCCCTTGAAACCACAAGTCTATGCAATTTTGCTCCCTAAAAAACTATGAATGTTAGGAACATGTAAACCAAACGTTTGCACAGAAGTGTCACCAAAAAGTGGGGATGGGTTATGATACAGCAGGTGCTCCAGTGTGTGTTTCTATCATTGCAATCAGAATAGTTGCAGTCTGTCATCTGTTATCTTCCAGGTTTTACAAAAGAATGACTTTTTTTGGTCATTTGATGAGTGTTAATTTCAGAGTTGTGTGAATGTTTTTAAAACAAAAATGTTGAAAATGAGGGCTGGGAGTAGCAGACAAATTCAGTGATGGCAGGAAAAATACAGTATGAGTAGTAGAAATGGAAGTGTTGTGAAAATGGTTTATATTGAAGTATTTTATGAGACTGCTATTGGAAATATGAAAAGATACAAATTACCAGTTACTGACCAAATTTCTGGCTGATATGATCACACAAGAGGTAAAACGTTATGTTCCGATGTCAACAAACTTATTAATTTTATTTGGAATTACAAAAAACTGTCACAGCAGTAGAAGGAATTTATTATTGTACCTATGTATAAGAATGGCAACAAAACTGCCAATATTAATTATGGAGGAATATCACTGTCATCAACTACATACAAAATATCATCCAGCATTTTTTATCAAGGTAAATTCCATACAAAGACAAAATTACTGGGGATAATCAGTTCTGATTTTGATAAAACTGACTAGTGATCAGATATTCTGCATTTTAGACACTGGAAAAAAGTAGTAGTACAACAAGACTGTATAATACCTATTTACAGACAGCAGTAGTATACCAGATTCTCATGAATTTTGTTAACTAGTTAGGCTAATTAAAAAGGTGTTTAAATGAAACATATAGTAAGGTCTGTATAGATAAACATTTGTCTGATGAATTTCCTATTTAGAATGATCTGAAATAAGAAGGTTGAAATTTCTGGTTATCATGAAGATGGCTGTCTTCTGGAATGTTTAAACTGCCTCGATGATGGAGGCAGTAAGCTCCTCTGAAATGTCAGTCAATATCTATCTAGGCGCAACATCCCAGAAGACAGTCATCTTCAAGGAGATGGCTTAAAATAATTACTCTTCAACTGTACTTTTGAATATACCATGAGGAATGTCCAAGAAAACAAGTGGTACTGGAAGAAACCATAAGTATCAGAAAGGAAAACACAGAAGCTCTATTAGATGCTGGTAAGGAAGTTGGTTCAGAAATAAATTAAGAGAAAACTATGTATATGCTCATGTATTTTCACCAGACTATATAACAAAATTATTTTACGGTAAAATGTGGCAAAGGTCACATACTTGGGAAATATGGTAAAAAATCAAAATTATATTCATGAAGAAATGAAGAGCATACTACATTTGAGGAATGCTTGTCCATGCTGTAGAGAAACTTTTGTCTTCTTTTCTGCTATCTAGAAACAAGTATTTTGTTGTTTTGTGAGTGTGAAACTTGGTTTCTCACATTAAAGAACACAGACTCAACATGCTTCAGTACAGGGTGCTCAGGATAGTATTTGACCCTAAGAGGGATGAAGAAAACTGCTTGTGAAGAGCTCTATAATTTGTAATTTTAACAAATATTAGGCTGATCAAATCAAGGACTATGAAATGGGTAGGGCATGGAGAAGATGAGAAATGAAGGTTTCTGTCATCAGGGCAATGAATTGCCTTGATGACAGAGGCAGTATGACCTCTGAAACATTGGTAAACATCGACCAGATTACACAGCGCAACCCAGAAGACAGAAACCTTCATACTCACCACTGTGAAAACCTCAAATCTTACAAGATGAGAAATGTGTAACACATTTTGGTTGGAAAGTCTGCAGGGAGAAGACCACTCAGAAAACTGAGGCATAGATGGGATAATAATGATAATAAAATGGATCAGACAGAAATAGCTGGAGAGGGTGTGGGTCAGATTAATATGGCTTAGCATGGTGATCAATTTGGGTGGGGGAGGCTGTTGTGAACACATGGGTTCAATAAGATGTACAGAATTTATTGACTAGCTGAGTATCAGCTTTCAAGAACTATGCTCCATTAAGTGAGTTGCATTGTGGACTGGTTTCATGTGGCTCAGGGCAGTAACCGGTGGCAGGCAAGCTTCTGCGAACATGGGAATACACTTTCAGGTTCCATATTTTATTAGCTAAATGACCGTTAGCTTCTGAAGAAAGACTGCTCCATGAAGTCAGTTAATCTTTATCATTTTTGTAGATGAGGAGTTCAAATATGTGAGGATACTTTCTAACACAGTCTTCACATGCATCAAGAGTAACTTGCTCTCACTCCCCCCTCCCCCACCACCAAAAAATTAATTTTTACGTTTCCTATACCTGATCCTTTAATCTCCCACTTGATTGGCTTTCCTCGAATTTTCTGTTTAAAAGCAAATCACCCCTTAAACAATCTTTTTTTTGTCTGCTGCCAAGTCACAATCCTCATTCTAAGCTTTCTGAACATACTCAATTTGTATAAAACTAGTACTTTACAAAGACCATCACAGTTCTCATAATGTTTAGGTGAAAGTGACATTTTTCATATTACTGAAGAGCCATCTAAGGTCATAAACAGATCACAAACCATTTCAGACTGACTGTGCTTCAGAGTAGAAACCCATTTCTACATCATTCTCTATGAAAGTGGTGGAGTGACCAAATCAATTTAACTGTTATCATATTTCAATCTATGACCTCTGTCTTACTGCCTGACTAATGGAGCTCGACCCAAACATCTTATCAATATGAGCAAGAAAACCACGAGGACAAGGCCTTGGCTTTCACCACCAATCAGTAATATGAGATGCATTCACACATTAGGAAGGGCAAAGGGTTATATAATGACCATTAGGAAGAGGTAGGATTGGCCAATCCTCAGTAAATTAACACACTTCTATGTTATCAAGTCCTTGTTACAAAGAACCATTACTAAGTCTCAAATTTATCTGCATGGGAAGTGAGAAGATGGAAGTGATGAAAAATATAGATTACGTTCTTATGTCAAATCATTCCTATCACCTGCAATGTGCACACTGCAAGCTCTGCTCCAACAGCAGCAGAATATGTGCATTTACATGTGTATTGCTTTATTTGTATCACTAACGTCTTCTAAATCTCAACTGCCATTTTTCTGTATCCTCCTTCCACTCCTCTTTGCTGCTGATTCCCAGATTCCTTCCTTCTTACACTTGCCTTCCTGTCATACATTCCAGTACTTCTGTAGGCCACCTGCTATCTGCCATTCTTTGAATATGTCTATGCCATATTACTTGTTTCATTTTTACATTATCTGAAGTAGAATTTTATAAACCAATTCTATAGTCTTTCCTTGATAATGTTGATGACCATCTCCAAAAATTTCTTTCTACTACTAACAATTTGTTTTCCTCCTTAAAATATATGTATAGCAACAAAAACCTGAATCAGCAGACTTCACAGTTGACAGTTCCTAACAATGTCTTACACCTGTATACTGTTCTGGTATCTGTAGGAGTCTTCAGGATTTCACTGCAGTTCAAAGCTAATCTCATTTTAATTTTTGGGTGATGAATACTATGATGTAGTGGACTGGTCTGAGAATTCCGCTACCAAACTATACAGAATGCAACAGTGCCACTGAATACTATTTGGACTTCACTTTGAAGACTGAGATGTTCATGTTCTCTAGAATATCAGCAAACCAGCACACAATAAAAGTCGTCGCCCAAAGGAAATTACTCGACAAAGAAAGTAGATAATATGTAATTACATATTCAGAACACCCTTAAAATGACATAGCAGGATAACTGTGTTGAGAATTAAAATGTTCTTCAGTTAAAATCACGTAATTCATTAAAAATATACACCAAAGGAAAATTTACCATTTAGTGATGTTATTCATTTCTCCTGCACTTACTCAGCCACAGTACAGTGCACTTACACCTTACTGTTACTACGTGCTGTGGCTACAGGATTCTGTTCTGAAAGAGGCTGTTTTGAAACTGCACTGCCACTGTTGCTGTTCACACTGGAGCGGCCACGCCCGCCCCTTCGTCCACGAGTCTTATGTCCTGAACGCTGAGGCATGTTCTCACGTTTACCTGTTGTCACTTCAAATGGGGAATCAGCATCAGGATTCCCTACTGGTGATAGCTAAAACAAATGCATAAAATTCTGTGTCATTAAGTAATCAGTATGTAATTGATTTTTCACTTCCCATTCATTTCACTGATCAGGAAGCATAGCCACAGCTGGATTTCAGTTTCAAAATACAAGAATGGAAAGGTGTATTATAATTTGGAGTATACAAACTTTAGAAAGGCATTCTTTGTGATCTTACATCTGTCATTGGCCTTAATGTTTGTACTCCGAAGACTTAATCACACTGCACAGTCAAACTCTCTCTTTGTAAATAATTAAGAAAAAAAATCAAAATTGTATATCTATATTTATAAACTGTATAAACATGTTAACTCAAATCATGCACCACTTGCAATCACAATACAAGGGCCGATCTTCCATTGATTGCCAACTGAGGACTGTACTACTGAAAAATAGGCGCTGACTCAATCACCAGATTTGTCGCACTTGGACACATCTGAACCACACTGAAACCTAACAATCAACATATTGAATCTGAACAACAGGTAAAAACAAACTCGAAACTGCGGCAGGAACAGTGGCCTGCGCTTACGTCCATTATGATGTCCACTCCAGACTTGACCAACTTCCAGACGCCGCTCCACCCTGGCCAAGCAGTCCACATAAAATATACCAGAAAGTGTCAGAATATGTACTCAGGACTCAACATAAACATACAGCTTACATTAACCCTTTCCAATCAACTATTTTTGTCTGTAAGCATAATATTTTTGTAAAAATTATTATCATTATTATAGAAGATGCATAGAACTGTTCAAAAGTAGCAAAACTACAACATAAGTAATGATAGTGAAGCACAAAGAAGAATAAAAAAACTGTTATAAATGAACAAATTTTAACTTAAATTTTCAATTGCAAAAACATGTCTCTCACTGCATTCATAACTAATGTACTGCATCGAGCAGAGTTCTTGAGAAGTTAAAAGTTACATCCACTGATCAAGAAATTTATAATTTTACAGACCCCGAAGGTTCATTATTATGTTCAAAAAAGACTGTGAATGGTCCCTATTCTGAGACCCTGGTTAATATTTCATGGCATGCTTGATTTCATGGTAAGGAGTTTTCAGCCCCTTGTCCAACCCCCAAGCTGGAGGACTGCCCCTTGTCAGCTGTCTGTGACTGCATATGCAATATACCCTCCACATATGCAGGGTTTTCTTCCATTCACAACCTGAGAATGTGCCATGCCATGGCGACAAGGTACCCACTCAAATCACTGTACTCACTACAAACTGAAAATGATTGCACATTCCCCATAAACTGCAAAAACAAACTCCACCTACTACATACTGAAATTTATTACTGATACATTTATCATTGTTTACTCACAAGTAAGCACAATTAGTGCTCATTTTATTATGGTCAAAAGACAATGTAGTAAAAGGTACATACTATGCTACTACTGGCACAAACCGTGCTATACATTTACAAAAGCAACTTTCCATAAATTCTTCAGAAGCCTTTTACTGCGTAGTACAGTTCAAAGCACTTATCTGTGTGTAAAACTAGCTATTTACTGGAAGTCTTGCAATAATATATTGCCTCTTTCCACAATTTGTTTGCTTGCACACAACAAAGGCACTAGACCAAGCATGTCAAACTCAAAGGCTAACACGGGCCAAATAAACAAGGTTTAAGTTTGTGTGGCCCACAAAAAAAAAACTTCAATTTTCATAGAAACTTAGGTTTATTTCGAAAAGTATAGTATAAAAAAAGAACAAGAACAACGATAAAATTAATGTTTTCTTCCTGACACTTGGCATCTCTTCTCTGCTACTATCTTTCCTACTTCGGGGGAAATCTTGTTCGCAGCAATTACTC